ATTGCAAAAGTAAAGGCTGAGTTATGCCAGAGATCCTCAGTTTTCTATGTATTTCGTTGAAGGAAAGACGTTTAAGAGTCAGTAGGATATGAGGTGACTAACAAAGATCAGAAGTAAGACCCAGCCTAGAACGGTTAGCAATCGATTAGTCTTCTGTATGAACGCCATCAGTATAACAGGAGTTATGGGACTTCAGCATCCCATACATGTCTTGTTTGTGTCCTAGACTAAAATTAAAAGCCAGACATCTGGAAAGATTTAACCTGAGATCATCTGAAAGAAACCATTAGCCAATCACAGACAAGAATGCATTTGATTCAAAGCAATCTAGGCGGGATTAGGCTGGAGCAGAAACCATCAAGTCATCAGCACGCTTAATGCAATCAGTTTCAACCGAATAAGGCAAATCATGAAAAAGTGTAGTGCCCTGCTTCAGAGACCGTGCCATTTTCTCTCAGAAAAATAAGAATAGAGCCGCTTTACCACCCATGGCTCACCATGAGCTATGGCAAGCTAATTCATTAGGAATGGTCCGGAAAGAGAGTCAAAGGCCAGTGAATAATCCAAGAATGTACAACAAACATATTTGCTACCTCTTTTTAGACCGGAGCCACTACCGTGATGCAAGATAGCGGCAGCATCTGAAGTACTTCTCCTGCGTTTGTAAACAAAATGAAGGCTCAAGCATGAACAGAAGTAATTTCTTCATGTTCTTCAAAAGGGTAAAGTTGTAGCGATGGATCGAAACTTAAATCTGATCCATAATATGACTTGGGCAAAAGTAGAACTTCGATCTCCTCCCAAGCAGCGAACGTTCTGTTTTTAGAAGGCGCTGCATTGAAAATACCTGTAGGGGGATGACAGTAAATATCTGCACGTTTCCTAGCCATAAAACTAGAAACACCATCGAGATCCATGCCTCGGGGTGAACCCAAGGATTTAGGACATTTAAATACTTCATTTGTGTTAAAGCTAGAATAGTAGCTGTCCATTGGACTGCAAACATTAGGGAGGGGAAATCTGCTTACGGAGGCATGAATGACTTGGAAGGGGGTAGACATCCATTCCAGCTTTTGTCATCTGTTGCAAGAGTTCCTTCGCGATAGGAACTTCTGGCTGAGTATGGTGTTCAGATGTCGTATTTCAGACCCAACTGGGTAGTTGCCTTTTAACGCCAGGGTTACCTGTCGTCTAATATAACCCCTCCTTTATCCTCTGAAGCCTCTTGAGGCGAGGGGAAGAGCCTGTCAAATCTCAGGTAGACTTTTCAGCAGGGTAGTGCATGTCGTGACAGGAATAAATAAATAAATAAATGTCTTATTCTCGTGTTAAAAAAAGGATTTTAACATGAGAGAAGCCAATTTACAGGCTTCATCACGTTGATACATCTCAAAATGTCTACAAGACTTCAGCCCTGAGTGGTACTGATGGATTGTCATTAAACTGAAAAAAATTTTAAAAAAAACAGCCGAAGGTCCTGCTAGTTATGAAATGAACGAGGAAATATTACTTTGCAGAGTACGTAGGGTATTAAAGTTTAGATAATAGTAAATGTCGCCTTCATTTAACAGGCTTAACATGAGGGATACCAGTTTACAAGCACCGTCAAATTCATAACCTTTGAAAGTATCTAGTATTAAATAATTTACATATCAAGTCATTAGTGTGCATAATCTTATTGAAATTTACTGAAATTCATGAGACGGATATGGACTGCCATCTCCCATCACATAGATAGGTTCCATTATCAGTATCAAAAGCGCGCATTGTTCAAAGTTTGCGTTATAACCAACCGACGTTGTTAGTCCATTCGCATAGTTTGCCGATTAGTAATATAATGGTTTATTACTTAGAATGATCTTCAGTTTTTAGTTTGCTAACCACAAAGGACCCATTTATATAATCTGGAGTAACAATAAAGTATCCACAGTTATACAACCAACGTGTATGGCTATATCAATGCATATCCAGGTCATCATGTTACTTTTGAAGGTGATATGGACTAATTCTGCTGGGAACAACCGTTGTATTGGATAAAAATAGGTGTTGAAACGGTCAATAGTCCATAGATTTCGGGCATCTTTTGTATTAGCACAGGTCGCATCATTCGAGAAGTGTATTCGATGCGTAGTAAGTTCCATATGAAAAGGTCTCTTGGTACAGAGTACTAGAAAATGTCTAGTGTGAAGCCATTGCAGGTAAGTGACCTCCTGAGCCAGTATTTTAATTGGTCTCTGGTTTAATCATCTGTTCAGAATGCCTCCGCTACTAATACTGTTGGGAACGGTCGGATGGTTCGCCGCAAAGAAAAATCATGACGAGTAGGCGAGTTAATCTTGAAGATGGTCCAGAATTTGCGAAAGAGTGGGAGTAGAGAAATGAAACAGCTTTTGACGTCTGTGGCAGTGTTGTCTAAAATTTCATCAGCAAATATACACCAGACTGCTTCTATGAACATATTTCCTAAATGTAGCGTGCTCTCCTGTGAATGTAATCAGTAGAAAAGTTAACCATATTTTCATGACCCGGTGGTACGTAGGAACCGCAGTCACGAGAGTTGGAGTTCCCATAGGCCATAGACAAAGAATTACCTTGACGTTGTTTCATGGGGAAGCAGTGTCATAAACAAACCACAAGTTCGAGAGCAGAAATTTAACACCACATGGTCGCTGTTAGCTAACGGAAGCTAACATCGCATCGGGCAAAGTTGGACTGCAACTCACCGTCAAAAAATTGGTAAAGAGAAATTGAGTGACCCGGAAGACGGCTTTCGAAATGTTCCTGATGTCAGGCGTTTTGAGTACTTCACGTTTACTAGTTCCACAGGCACCTGGCCCTGAAGTTCTGAAATTTTGAATGGTATAGAATTGTATCATAGAGGTGGTGTCACCTAATGCGGAATATATCCGTGAGTTTAGGGCGGCCTTTAAGATTTGTGGTTTTCAGGGCGTTTTTGCCTGATCAACCCTCAATGCTATCCGATGCAGCAGAGTTACGCGTGCTACAGATAACTCGTGCTGCTGTTTTTGTTAGGCCATCAGATGTAGGTGCTGGGAAAATCCCCAGGGTTAGACGCCATTTGCCCATCTGAGTTGGAACAATGTCCGAGTACCCTAAGTGACCCGGTCTGCAATCTTTCCCAACACTTCTTAGATGAACCAAGGCCCTGACGGGAGTGGAAACGGGCCATCCTCTCCCTCATCTTCTAAAGGGGGGACAGGCAGAAACCGTACTTTTACCGACACATAGCACTGATACCAGTAACTTCAAAAGTTATGGAAAGCATGATAGACAGCCATATCAAGGAATACTTGGACACAAATCAGGCACTTAGTGATGCTCAGCACGACTTCTGAAAGGGCAGGTCCTGCTTCTCCAACCTCCTGACATCCGACGATATGCTTGGACCTCAAGCTTCCGGTTCAGGCGAATATTCTGAACAGCACTGAAGCAATTGACACTCCCACACACCATTCTAACACACAGAATACCAACGTTGGGCATTCGCAACCAGTTAACATCTTGGAAGGGGAACTAATTAGACGGTGGGGGGTCCGGCAAGAAATTCAACAGAGTCTATTCATCTTAGAGAAATTCATCGTCCGAGGTATCACAGAGAGCCATTTTGGGTGTGTTGTTGGTCCGACCGTTCGTGGATGGTCATTCACTGCATATCAGCACTTCGATTCTCCCTACGCTGAAGACGTCAAGTTATGGAGGGCAGTAACGGGGGAAACGGGATCCAAGGCATTACGGGACGACCACAAAACACGCCAGAAGTGGGCGAAAATAAGGGAATTGGTATTCAGCTTGGATAAGGGCCGATTCATGTTTTTCTGCACTCTAGATCCATAGAGTATCCAACTCCGTTTGTGGTTCGTACTTTCTCTATACCACAGCAGACAAGAACTGGGTCCACTGGTGATGGAGAGACTGGACACCAGTTCCAGTTATCTTGGAGATGGCTTTGTGCGCAAACAACTGCGTGGCTTCACCTCAGATCTCTTTTTGAAGCTCTATAAGACCTGTAAGTGGCAACATTCATAGGCTTATAGTGTCTTCCTCCCACCACACCTGAAAAGGGGCATGACTCTCCCTCAGAAATATCAGAGGTGAGCCACAAAAGGGGTTGTTGGGATGCAACAAAACCATTTGAGGACAGACTAAAAGACCCAGGCCTGTGCTCTCTTAGTTACCCAAGGTTACTAGGTGGGTGATAGCGGCTCTCAAAATACTGAACGACACAAGTCACCCTAACAGAGGAATACCGCCGAGTGTCCACTTTGGTCATCCTCATGGAAACCTAAAGAGAATTCTTACCAAAGGTTAAAACTCGTGTGAGTTCAAATTTCTTCCCCTTCGAGTCCGCAAGCACTGGAATACATTGCCAACAGAGGTGGCCGTCGCCTCAATTATCGACATTTTCAAGAAAACGCCAGACAGTTACGCAATGACCCATGGTTAAAACTCACCCAGTTGGAATACCAACTAGATCGAGGAAGTCAACTGCTATCAAACCACTCCAAAACTGTTGCTACCATGCCAATTTTCTTCTGATTCTCATTGTTTAAGCGACTTCCATGCTTCTGACTGGCAGTGATTTAACTTCGCTCACATAAGCACTGCATATCTTCGAGTCCCTCGTATCTTTTTTGGGTGTAGGTAGATTACTCCTTCGTTTCGCTTTCCTTTGTCTTCTACTCATACACATTTTCTCCCTATATTATCTACCCACTACCGCTAACTCGCTGTTACGGCCAGTATGAACAACTGGCAGCCAGGTGGACGTTGGAATTACATAACTGCATAGCAGTTCCAAGCAAACTAACCAAAACCCAACTACCTGCCTGGTATGCGAGAACTATAAAGGGTGAATGGTTGGATATACTGAATCAAAATACTCCAAAGACCCGTGACCACTCCGCATGACCTAGAAGCGAGCACGAAGAAATTGAATAATGTGCACAGGCTGGTCAAACAGATCCTAGATATTGAACGTTGTGCAAACAGCCTTGAAGTTCCGGAATTTTGAATGTTATAGGGTGATATCACGGAGGTGGTACACACTTTCTGAATTGATGCCACTTAATGCTGAATATGCCCGTGAGTTGAGGGCAGTATTTAAGATTCTAGAGTTTTCTCTCGGTTTCGCTCTCATTGTTGCAATTGTACTAGCCGATCATTATCGAATTTCAACAGTGGGAGGTTGCATTATATTCGTTACAGTAGTTACAACTATCACATCAATATGCTTTTTCGTCCTTCATCTATCTGGCCTTGTTTACAAGTGCACGGGACCGATCACATTAATTGTAAGTTACAAAAAAGTGCATTTGTCTATTTTGACGTACAGGAAGAATATTTTCTGCGTTACGGGACGCTTTCATGGTAAACTGACTTAAACAACAGGTTTATCAGCAGATATTTTGTTTTTCTAAGCTTGTGTCAGGTGTTAGAGATAGAAATTTGCTTGCTGGTGCCGATATTAACAACCATACCACCCTTACCACCTCCAATATTTTTTCTGACTTGTTGTCTATTAAAATGGCTTTGTTATCAAAAGACTCGGAATATTATATTTTGGGTAACAAAACACGAAACTTTCTAGGAGATTTGGTTGGCAGCAGCCTTCTGAATCAAAGTGGTCAGTGGTTTTGTAACAGAAGTTGCATAACCAAGGAGACGCAGGTTTACTTCACTGTTTATAGGAATGAGAGTGCCAGTTCAGTATACACTTAGTGGAAACAACTCCCACAGCCATAACGCTGCATACTTAAAGCAATTAGAAACTTGCCTTTTGGTCTATCACTTCAGGATTCTTTACCAACCATGATAAAAACAAAGCCTTAACACGAAGTAAAACGTGCAAAAGCAAAAAGTGTGGAAGACGAGCTAAAACACAGAAGTAAAGGCTAGAGGTTACACAGAAAAGCAATAAAATCTAGCTGTAATTGGGACGCTTTCAGTTAAAATTAGCCGTATTAACTTTGAATTTAAGTCTGTTTATAAGAATTGTCACATACTGAAACAGTATTACCTACTGGATGATGTTTCTGACAGGTAGCTTATATGAATGTGGATCATAAATTAAATACGAAACATTATCCACTTAATAATATAATTGTATAACTATAATAAACAAACTAAAATGGAATTGCAGTCTATCAAAGTGCTCAAGTTTTACTCCTACATGACTGCTTAGAATTCGGATAAAACAATAAATTCAAAATTACGCCAAGACACGAAACATACAGCTGTCATTTTTGGAGCGCGTGACCAGTCAGTTTACGCTCAAGTGCATAATTTATATGAAAATGGAACTTTCGATGTGTAATCTGCAAACGGCACATACCTCTTAGGTGACTATAAAGAAACATATTCACACAGATAAAGGTGGAAACTTAGCACATCACACAAGCCTGAAAAACAATGCGAAGCGCCATAGTAGGTTAGACCATCGGTAACGGTTTCGGACACAAAATGTTTGTTCAAATAGACTTTAATTCTAAGCGAAGGCATCTTTTGTTATGTTTTGAACATTTTGGAATGTGTAAAGTAGTGCAGATGGTTTTTTGGTTATCTTCAGTTAAGTGAGTTTGCCCAGTAAGAAGTTAGCCACACCTGTTTCTGTGAGAGCTAACGATACTGCTTGCTATCAAGAGGAGTCAGGTTCACACATGCTACCCGCTGATTGAAATCAACCTACCTAAACTAGTAAGCTACAGCGCCACAGTTTGAGCCCTTGGTAATGAATTATTATTTTCCGCTGCAATCTAAGCATTTGTCCAACATTTTGTGAATAAACTGTGCCTGACATCACTTACCGGGATACGCAAAAGATGGAGTTCACTTGACTAGAAAGCCAACTATCTAGGGTGATATGGTCAACTTTTGGCCTGAGCACTACCTCATTATAACCACAAGGGTTTTAGCATTCAATAAAAGGGAAAAACTAATTAAAACGGTTCATGATTTTAGAAATATAAATCTCACCCGACTCATTCTGCTATCGTATGATGTATGAAAACGTTCCAAGTTTTCGAGAACTTCCTCGTAGCCTGTGTTGGATGTTACAGGGACCGCATATGTGTTGGATCCTCGGTTTTACTTTTGTTTGACCTGAGTTCCTTTTTGGATGGTCGGTCTCATCTTCTGCAACGTTATTCAGTTTATGCCCAACTGAAATCAGACGTTAAGCTATGAAAATGTGTATGCTTATCAAAACACCACTTCTTACTTCGTAAACTGCTTTAAACTCTTAGTTTGGGGTTAGGAGAAAGCACTTTATGGTTATTGGGCTGAGAACTTTTTTAAATTTCAGGCAGCTGTAAATTAGTAGTGATTACAGTCTTATATCACCAAATTTTTATACGTTGGCAGTTGCGAATCCCTTTACGGGGCCACACATTAAAGCTTAAGCCATTTTGTTACAGCTGAAAAATTTGCTAACAACTTTAGACTACTTTTTGTTTTACTCTTATCTGCGTGAACTTTTAGGAACTCTGAAACTGATTTCTGCTTTGATTTCATAGTTCCACTCAAGCAGATTTTCGATAACTTCCAGGTATCTTTATATCATGAGCAGCATATTACTTGATATTTTATGAAGGGCTTTATTGGATTCTATGGAAAACAAACATCTACAGACTTTCTTTCAACTTACTTGTCTTATAAGAACATAGGTTTTTCGTAGGTCACCTACATGGCATAATCTTAGAAACGACAACCAACTTCAGACATTATTATACTTCAACTTTACTAGCTTCAGATAATTCAAATTTTTCTGCATACCATTCTTTGATGTTCAGTATTACCCTGATAGAGTTCTAGTTCCTACTTTACCCCTAATTTTGATTACGTTCTTGTTTATTTTATGCCTCATTCAGTCACAAATATGGTAGAAATATACTTGAGGAATTTTTTACACCTCTGAAGGTTTTCTCAGTTCATCTTCACTGACGTCCTTAATGTGAGGTAGTTGTGTGTCGACCTGCCCTGAGTTACACTAGTCTAACCTCAGGTTTTCACTGCCACGACAACTCACAGTTGATGCAATTACCGTATCTGATAAGTATAACTATGTGTTCGCTAAGCAGCCTGTTTAAGTTCACTGCCACTGGATTCAACTGAATTTCGATCATTACTGTGATTCGTATCAGGATTAAGAATATTCGAAATCATTGGCTCAGACATTTGGTGATGGAAAATAATATGTTCTGTAGTGTCATCAAATGTCCTTACATATGCGTTTTGGAAAACTCCGAAAACAAAAACGTGAATCAAAAACCTCAGTTTAACTGCTCTTCTTTTATTCCAACTACTAATACATGTTAATTGCGACTGTTCATGCTTTTATTTCACATCCAAGTTTCCCATTAGACAGGCAGCTTCATATTATTTGACTGACTGGTTTTCTAATAAATGCATTAAATTTTTCAATACATGGTGCTTCTGTTTCATTACAAAATGCATACGGTTTCAGCAAAATTATTTCAGTGTGCTGCTTACTCAATAAATTTAGACCGAGATAAAAAATTATGCCCGCCCACTCTGAAGCTGTCTTATGCATGCTATCTAACATTTTAAAATGATTAGGGCATTCAGCATAGAATCAGTTGTTTTCTAAATTTCACTTACTTGACGCGTAAAGGGGAAAAATGACCAACAAACAGTTAGCTCTCTGACTAATGGTAAGCATCACTAAACCGACTTTTCCAAAGTGTCTTGAGGTTGTAGATCAGCTGAAGTTAAAGAGAGATAAAAGTAATTTTCATGCTCCTAAAATATCCTTATTATCTGAATAAGATCCAGGTGGGGATAACGTTGTCTTGCTTCCTAAAATTGTTCCCTTACACCACTTGGGTGTACTACTGGATGTTGATCTTCATTAACAATTGAACAGAAGACGATTTCCTTCAGTGCATGATATTTTGCCCTACTAACAGGTTGAACGTCTTTTTTCTAAACGTTTCGATCAGGTTAACACATTGTTGTCCTTTCAAGTTTTACAGAACATTTACACTGATTGTCAATAACTTTATCTGACCTATTTTAAGCATAATCATCAGTCTTTCCATTTTTTAGCTGGTTTACGTGCCAAGTTTTATCCTGTTTGATATTACCACAGTTATCCGGACTAGTTCATTTTAACGTAGGAGTTGAACTTGCCAGCCGATGAACCTGACAGTCCTGAAGTGATGACATGTGGTGCGACTGATATGTTCTAGACTAGGATAGAACAGTTATTCACCAAATTCTGGTTTCCATTGGTTCTCTATGATAAAACCTGTCGTAAAATCTACCAGTCACCTATCAGTGGTTAGTCTTGGCACACTAATGTCGATCTGAGATCAAACGCAATGCACAAAGCAATAACTCTTAACCCAGTTAATTAAAGAAGACAATACATTCTTTATCACAATCTATTTTTTCGTGCCAATTATGACTAATGTTTGATCAAGATGAAATAATGTTACATATTTGGATATTATTATATAGGTTTTACACGTATCATGCTTTGATATTCATAGCGATATGAGCAACAAAAATACTTAACTGGTTTTGTCTACTTCTGAGTAAGAAATTTTACGTAAGCAAATAATATTTGGTGGTAAATACTACTCAAGCTTATTTCTTAGGAAACAGTTACCCTATGTTTTTTAAATATAACTAAATGTTTCAAAGTGATAGAATGATATGGCACCAGCATGTCAATATCCTTTGCTTTAAAGCAGCAAGCTTTTAATATCTTCAAAGTGTAATAAAACAATGAATCTACTTAAAATTAACGGTCATAGTACTCTACTGCACATCTACTATTATTAAAGGAAGAAAGTGGCGGCTTTTTTGCACTTATCGTCCAAACTGTAGCCCTTTGTCGACACCTTTGTATGTCAACAAGACATTTCTTGTTGTTAGAGGAATGAACTCATATGACTAGCGCTTAATATTTTTCTCTAAATACCAGTAAACACCCTCCTCCTCCTTTATGTAAGCAATCTGAGCTCCAATGAGCACCAGCTGATCTTGTTGTATGAGTCTAGTTACTGTTAGCTAGGGAGAAGTATTCGAGTGCGTTATGTAAATGTAGACATTGACTGATTCACAACACGAGGAATTCTGATTAAGCAATTCTTGGACCTATGAATGTGCGATTTTTGAACTAATTTGATTTATTTCATCACAGAATAAAATTTTCATTTTGTTTCAAAGACATTACCTAACACCTGCTCTGAATGGAAACGTCCTTGATCATAATACTTATAGCTGTTGTGAGGTATGAAATAATACAGAGGTTGGTTCTATTTCAGCC